GGTCCCCAGGTGTGCACAAAAATCTGAAAACTTTAAAAACCTATCGGGGGGATATTTAAATCCCCCCAAAACTAAAAGAGCGTTCCCTGCGCATGCGCAGGGAACGCTCTTTTAGTTTTGGGGGGATTTAAATATCCCCCCGATAGGTTTTTAAAGTTTTCAGATTTTTGTGCACACCTGGGGACCGCCCCAAGTGTGCACAGAAATCTCCCTGCCCCCCAGGTGCCCCCGATGTGCGGATTTAGATATCCGCACGCAGGGGGCGCCTTTCGCTATTAGTATAAGGATATGTGGAAAGGCAAGAGAAGAAGAGGAGATTGGATTTATACCCTGCCCTTCACTACCTGAAGGAGTCTCAGAGCGGCTTAAAATCTTCTTCCCTTCCTCTCCCCACAGCAGACACCCTGTGGGGTAGGTGGGGCTGAGAGAATGTCAGGTTCAACAGCAAGTAAATCTCCACACTCATTTCCAGGGAATCATTATGCTTTATTAGACTACAGGTCTGTTGCCATGGTCTACAGGTATAGTGTTAGGAATGACAATGGGGTGGATGCATCCCTACATATAAAAGGATGAGGCAAATGGCTAAGCAAATGAAATCCAAGTGGGAATTCTCACAGCGGGAGTTTACGTAATGAACAGGAGAGTCTCCGTGCCTCATGAGAGCAGAAATATTCACACCAACAGTGGAACGCAAGCCATCCTTCCTTCTCAAGGCCAGTCAGATAACCCAGTCTGGCAGCACCAGTTCGCACGGTCTCACGAGCGCCTCCCTATCGCTGTTTACAGCAAGTGAGCACAGCAGCGAGCAAGCATGCGCCGTAGTGCCAGAGGCAGGGAAGGAAAAATACAATGGAAACATGGCAGCTAGCTGACATCCTGCCCCCTCTAAAATAAATCAACCCCCTCCCGGAGCGGCCGGGAAACAGCCGTGGAACTTCCGCAAAAGGGCAGGGGCCTGAACATCCTTTTCCTCCACCCATTCCCAATGTTCGGGACCCCAATGAACCCATTCCACCAGATAATACAACTGTCCACGCTTCATTTTAGAGTTCAGAATGTCTGAGATCTCGTAATGTTCTTCACCCTCCACCAGGATGGGAGGGGGGCACTGTCGGTTCCAGGCGGCATTGATTAGTTTCTGGACTGAATTTCAATAAGCTGAAATGGAAAATTGGGTGGATATGCTTTAGGTTCTTAGGCAAGTCCAATTCTACTCTTACCTCATTAATTAACCGTACAACTTTAAAAGGACCGATGTATTTCCACACCAACTTCCAACAGGACTGAGAAAGCCGCATATTCTTTGTGGACACATATACACAATCTCCAGTCTTCAGAACCCAACCCTCCACCTGTTTCTTGTCAGCCCATTGCTTGTAAGCGGCCTTGGCCATGTCCAGTGTCTCACATATCTTTGGCCATGAGTCCCTCAACGTGTTACACCATTCGGATGCTCCCCCCTTGTCCAGTGTCCGAGGTTAGAAAGGGAATCGGGGGGCTGTCATAGCCGAGAGCTGCTTTGAATGGGGACACCCCTGTGGACGAGTGGTGAGCATTATTATAACAAAATTCAGCTAAAGTCAGTAAGGCCACCCAGATGTCTTGTTGATAGTTTGTGAAACACTGTAAGTATTGTTCAAGTGTTTGATTAACACGTAGCCACTGCTCAGCCCCCGTTCTATGCCCATAGGTTCCATGAGCTCCCCCCAAAACTTCGAGATAAATTGGGAGCCCCTGTCCGTTATTATTTTGGTAGGCAGCGTGTGGAGTCTGAAAACATGTTCGAGAAATTCTTTAGCCAATGTTCGTGCTGTCGGCAAACTGGGGAATGGAATGAGAGAACTTGTGACTGACGCAAGGTCACCCAGCAGCTGCATGTGGAGGCGTGGAGAATCAAACCCAGTTCTCCAGATTAAAGTCCACCACTCTAAGCACTACACCAAACTGGCTGTTATTTTATCTTTGATTTTAGGTGGGAATGTGTTAACTGGTGTTGTAAGCCACCTTGAAGCAGATGTTTTTATAGCATAGAAACATTCTTGCTTATTAACGTTTGCAGACATTAGTGCAACAAGGGCTTTAATGTGTGAATTGGCTCTCAAACTTTTAGGTGCAGAAGTGAAGCATTAATGGCTGGGTAATATTGGGAGGTGTGGGTAATATTGGGAGCTTTGGTGGCTCAAGTGGTTAAGATGCTGAACTGCAGGCTGTGGAAGGAAGATGAAAAAAGATGATGATGAAGAAGAGATTGGATTTATACCCTGCCCTTCACTACCCAAAGGAGTCTCAGAGCGGCTTACAAACTCCTCTCCCTTCCCCTCCCCACAACAGACACCCTGTGAGGTGGGTGGGGCTGAGAGAACTCTGACACAAACTGCTCTTTCAGGAACAGCTGTGCCAGAGCTTGTGACTGACCCAAGGTCACATCAGCAGGTGCAAGTGGAGGAGTGGGGAATCAAACCCGGTTCTCCCAGATTAGAGTCCGCGCACTTAACCACTACACCAAACTGGCTCTAGGGAAAACAATGTTTCCAAACTAGGGGAAACAATGTGAAGCATGTGGGCTTCTGGTAGTGAAGCTGGGAGGGGGGGGTGACGTTAAGGTTGCTCCTTAGGTCAGCTGTGGTTCTTCTTCTGTCCCTTGCAGAAAGCCCAAAGAGCCCCTTGTCCCCAAAGCGTGCTGCCTGTTTGTCTACAGGAAATGGGACCATCTGGTACTTTCAAGTTCTGATTCTGTTATTTCTTCTTGTGGGCTCAATTTCATCGGTGCAACCAATAAATAGTGAGAGTTCTTGGCAGGAAAAAAACGTGCTGTCTCCCCCTCCCCACCAGCTTTTCCAGCAATGAATATGGGATCTGTTACTTCGTTTATTCCTTCACCCCTGCCAAGAACCCTGTCACACTTCCATTTTCACCTAGCCTGCATTTAAACTATCTTCATAGAATTACCACAACTAAGGTAGATAAATCTAGCTCTCGCCAGCATTGCCAGCTTCTAATAAGTCCATGTTCCTTGACCTTTAATAGCTGCTTTATCGGCAGACATTAGTAAGCAACCATGTTTCCATGCTGTAAAAACTTCATCTGCTAGTTTTGATTCATAAACTTTCTCTCCAGTGGGGACCCTTATACCCTTCTCCTCCATTGTATCCTCACAACGCCCCTGTGAGGTCGATTAGGCTGTATGTGTGTGAGTGGCCCAAGGTCACCCAGTGAGATTCCATGGCAGAGTAGGGATTTGAACCTGGGTCTTCCCAGATTCTTGGCCAGCATCCTAACCACGAGACAACACTGGATCTCAAAGGTGCTGCTAAAGGCATAAAAGTGAGGCAGTCCATTTTTGTTTGGTCATTTGGCATCCCTACGCAATAATATTGGGAAGTCCCTGCGGAAAATCATAGTATTCCACACTAGGGCAGGAAATAGCATCTCCAGATGCTGCGAAAGAAGGGAAACTGAAACTAGCCAATCCAAACGAAGCTCCCACCCTGTCACACAGTCTCCCTGGAGAAGAGCAGCATGCTGATGTAGCAGTATGCAAAGCAGCAGGTGTTCAGAAAAATGCGCTGTTCTTTGCAATTTAATACGTTCTTCTGGCCGCGTTATGTCTGCGTCTGAGCATACACAGTTCTTGTTTTAGGGAATAGAGCATTACTGAAGATCTCTCTTTAAAAAACCAAACAAACTTATTAGCTTTGATGTGGTCACATGGTTCTCCAGTATGTGCACATCAAGAATCAATGTTTGAGAATAGGAGGCAGAAGAATGGTTTTATTTAATTCTCTCCCCCATGTGCCCAGACTCCTAGGACTGGTTTTCAGTGGAAAAAAATTAAAGGCGGTGCTAGTTGAGATACAGCTTGCACATTCTTGGCTTTTTATTTATATATACACTTTATTTATATATACACATTTATACACACACACACACACACTCTTCTTCTCAGTGGGGAACCAAAGCTGAGTAGCTCTCCCTTCTTCTAACATCCTAACAACAACCCTACGAGGTAGGTTAGGCTGAGCATGAGTGACTGGCCCAAGGTCACCTAGCAGGCTTCCATGGCAAAGTGAGGATTTAGATGTGGGTCTCCCAGATCATAGTCCAACATTCTCGCCAATGTTCCGTTCTGGTGCACCCAGAGAGCTTCAGGCTGTGTCTTTTGTGCTCTCAGCTTTTGAGTCTGTTACTGCAGACAACTCTAACCTCTTCAACATTCCCCTCGTTGGCCTTGCCAGCAGTTACATTAGTACAGCCATTAACTGTAGTCACAGATGAGTCCCCTGCTTAATTGGGCCAAAACATAGGTAGCTGTGTTGATCTGTAGCAGAATCCGGAAAGCAAAAAAAGCCTTCTGTTAAGACCAGCCAAAATGACACAGTATATTGTTCACATTTGCAGGTCCTCTAGAATTCTTCGTCAGGCTAGATGCAAGAAGAAAAGAAAGAACACGGGGAGAAAAGCAGATCTTTTAGGCCTCTGTCTGCATCCTGTATAGGATGCTTTGTTGAGTTCAGTGGGCAAAGGGGTGTGGCTGGCCGGTGTCAGATCTTCGCATCTCCCCCTTTTCTGTTTTTTTTAACAACCAGCCTGATGAAAATTTCTGGAGAACTTGTGCAAAGTGGTGTATTGAAGGGCCTTTGTTTTATCGGATTTTGTTTAATCCGAGTTTGCCAACTGGCCTGGCTTTGCTTTTCAAGTCCAGCATCCATGAGGGGCCTTTGGAAAATGGCCAGCTTTCATCTCCAGGAGGTGTCAGGAGCACAAACCAAAAAGGGATGCTTCTTCTAGGGACACAGCATCTGTGCTGCAGAAGTTGTCGGCATTGGATCTTCCTGAGAAGGGAGCACCAAACAGTGGATCCAGTCGAATTTTCTGTATTAATGTGAAACAGGTTGTGTTTGTTTTAATGTTTGTTCTCGATTGCTTGGAACATGAATGCAGAGCAGCTACGTATTTGCTCATGTCTCTCTCCCCTGCCCCTTCCTTTTCTGTTCCAGAGTTCCTATCCTATCTGGGAAGATTTCAACTCCAAGGCAACGAAACTCCACTCCCAACTGCGGTGAGTTCCTCTCTAGAGCCTGCTCAGGCACTTTATTAGCGGCTTCTTGCCCCCCAGAGACCTCTGGGCTGTTTGTCTTCCCTGCCCCCATCTTTTATTTTAAAGGTAGCTTCTGTTGTCTCACATCTGTACAGAAACTGAGCAGGTTGTTGTGCTGGGTGCAGAGGGAATATAAGGCCTTCCTGTCCCAAGAGCACAGGGTTGCTCTCAGAGAACACACAGCTTAGCGGTCTACCAGTCAACCTCTTCTGGTGGTCCCCGGCCCCAGGGACATCCGTCTTGCCTCGACAAGGGCCAGGGCTTTTTTGGCCCTGACTCCCATCCAATGGAATGAGCTCCCACAGGAGATCAGGGCCTCACGGGACCTTTTGCAGTTCCGCAGGGCCTGCACGACGGAGCTCTTCCGCCAGGCTCTTAATTAGGGCGGTGGGCATCTCCCCTCTCTCTTGGCCTCCCCTCAGTGGTTCACTTTTGTATTATCATCAATGGACCCCAATTCATAAAAGATTGTACCTGTGATACTTGACTTGATCTGTATGATAGGATTATTGTTGTATTTTATATTTTGTATATGATGGAAGCTCCCCCTAAGCCTGCTATGCGGGGAGGGTGGGATACAAATCTAATAAATAAGTAAATAATAAAGAAAAATGTGGCGTCTTGCACCAAACTGGGCCTCTTGATGTCCACTGTGCCCCACTCTGCAGGAAACTCTCCTGGCTGTCGGGTGGGGCCATTCTGTGCCATGCGAGGGTCCTTCAGCCAGCCCAGGGGGGCCTGTCTGCTTTCTCCCTGGCCCCCTTCCAAATCCAAGCAGTTGACTGGGCATCCAGACTGCCATAGATACTAGGGCATGGCTGTGTTTCAGCTCAGTTTGTGGCTAGTCCAGCGTGAAGATGAATTGTTGTATGACTCTTAATTCTGTAGAAATTCTGAAAGAGACAGGGAGGCAGGAAGTGGGAGACAGAGGCAGGTCACATCTCTGGGCAGAGGGATTTAATTCATCACAGGCTGTACTTAAATTCTTTGAGACTGTTGTTTCTATGTCAAGTTCATCTCCTGTTCCTCTCCCTTTAGTTACAGAAGCAGGTGTACAGGCAGAGGTACTTTGAGGAAGCCATTGTTCCTGGCTCCTTGGTTGGGGGAGGTATCATCTCAGCTGTACCTGTTTTCTCTCAGTCACACCCTGGGACTCTTTCAGGATGGAGCCTTTCCTGCCTCTGTTTTGTGTTTGCCAACTCTATGTTGGATGAGCACCTGCTTTAGTTCTGCACAGCTGACTGTTGTCAGGTAGTTGGCTGAGGAAGAACAACAACTTAAAAGCATCGTATTGAGAAATGTGAAACTTTTTATCTGCTGATTCCTGCACTTCATAGGCTGGATGACAAGAAGCAAGTTCAGTTTGCTCTGAGGTTGTCCCCCCCCCCCCCAAGCAAATTTTATAGGAATCTTGTTGTTAACTGCTAATTTGAATGTTTGGGATATATATTTTAAAAAACACCCTTTTTCTATTAAGCCTTTGACCTTGGCTACAGTGATCTAGAGGCATGTATTAGAGTAGCCATTTCCTGAAGGGGAGGAGAGGAGGGGGAGGGCAATTTTGAATAAGAAAATAACCACTTGGAAAGAGTTAAGTGCCTCCTATGCCAATGACAATAAAATAAAAACAAGGCTGTTGAGAAATCTCCTCTGCTACATCTCATTAAGACTTTGTTCTCTGCTGGATCAGACCCGTGGTTTGATTCCCCACTCCTCCACTTGCACCTGCTGATTTGACGTGGGTCAGCCACAAGCTCGGGCACAGCTGTCCCTGAAAAAAAGCAGTTTCTGTCAGAGCTCTCTCAGCCCCACCCACCTCACAGGGTGTCTGTTGTGGGGAGGGGAAGGGAAAGGAGTTTGTAAGCCGCTCTGAGACTCCAAGTGAAGGGCGGGGTATAAATCCAGTCTCCTCCTCCTCCTCCTTTCACCAGGGGTGACCAAAGTCTCTGTAAGGCCCACACAGCAGGGGCGCAGGGGCCAAAGCCTCCCAGGAAACTGTATCCAGAGATATAGTGCCTCTGAACATTGAAGTTCCCATTCTCTCAGTGTTTTTTGATGTAATTAAGTTTTACAGCTCTATAACTTTTACAGCTCTGTCACCACATGCCACAGAGTGCCTCACAGATGTAAGGAGGATGGTTTTTAGAGCCCCAAGGGTTTGCGGCAAGAAGTTGCAGCCCTGTAGGGCCTCTGGCCAGCTTTTCAGCTGTGTCTGAGCAGCCACCAGTCATCAGCAGAGAGCCATGAGAGCCACCGTGGTGTAGCTGTTAAGAGCAGTGGACTGTAGTCTGGAGAACCAGGTTTGATTCCCCACTCCTCCACTTGAAGCCAGCTGGGTAACCTTGGGAGAGTCACAGCTCTCTCAGTGCTCTCTCAGCCAAAAAACAAGTTAACTTGCCACCTAGTGGTGCACAGCTCTAAAAGAGCAAGGACTTCTGGCTGCCAGACAATCTTAGGATCTCCTGGCTATGCTACACACAATGCCATACAATTATAATTATTAGAGAGCCACTGGTTCTGCTCACTTCCTGCTTTGCTTCACCTTTCGTTTCCCCAAACCTGCCCCTTAACCTTGTTCCTCACCACTGTTTTGTTTTTCCTTGGGAGGATCAGGAGATCTCCTTTTTTTGCGTGTGGGCCACTTCCTCCCCTGGATTGAGTGTGGCTACAAAGGGGCCCTTTCAGTCCGCCTGCACTCACTTTCCAGTAGCCAGATACTCCCTGCTCAGCCGCCCTATTAATAGCCCCCCGTGGCTCTGCTTGTGTTTCTCGGTCCTCCACTCATTTTTAAAAGCTCTCTTGTGTGCGTGTGTTCCCCCCCCCCCAGCATCCTCAGCTGCTGTGTCGTGTGTTCTCTTGCATGCTCCCAGTACTGCCTTTGTATTCCTTGGCTATCTTGAGGGAGAGCCTGACTTTTCCTTTGCTTTTCTCACGCACGGAGGAGCTGCATAGGAGCTCAGAGCCGGTTTTGGAGGGAGATGTTAAAGCAGTGGGCTTGATTGGGGTGGGGGATTGGCTGACTTGACTCTGCTGAGCCCAAGCCATGTACGAGAGGAGCCTCAGACACTTTCGCCTGGTTCTGCTCTCTCCCTCGCCTCTGCCTGGGTGATATTTAATTTGAGAAGATAAGTGTTTGGCAGGGGAGGTCTGTGGCAAAGTCTGGGGACTGACCTCTGTGTTTTAGGATCCAGGTGGGCAGCCCATGTTGGTCTGAAGCAGCAGAACAAAGTGTGAGTCCAGTGGGGCACCTTTAAGACCAGCAAAGTTTTATTCAAGTGTGAGCTCTCATGTTCGTGCACACTTCCTCAGATAACATTGAAATCTTTCTTGACGCATCTGAGGAAGTGTGAGTGCACACAAAAGCTCATACCTTAAATAAAACTTTGTTGGTCTTAAAGGTGCCCCACTGGACTCACACTTTGTTCTGTGTTTTAAGGCACTGAGGGATTGGGGAGGGGCTACAGGCTGTTGCAACCACTGTGAAACCTCTGGCACTGATTGGTGGTAGGGTAGCAGCAGGAGGAATCGGATTTATATTATGCCCTTCGCATGGAGTCTCAGAGCGGCTTACAATCACCTTTGCTTCCCCTCCCCCTCCCCACAACAAACACCCTGTGAGGTAGGTGGGGCCGAGAGAGCTCTTTCGAGAACTGTGACTGGCCCAAGGCCACTTAGCTGGCTTCTTGTGGAGAAGAACTGGGGAATCAAACCCAGTTCTCCAGCTTAAAGTCTGCCGCTCTTAACGGCTACACCAAACCTTATAATCTTCACAAACATTCAGGTGGGTAGTCATGTTGGTCCACAGTAGAAGAGCTCGATTCTAGTCCAGTAGCACCTTAGACCAACAAGGTTCCCAGAGTGTAAGCTTTCAAGAGTCCGGGCTTCAAAGGGAAATTGGACTCTCAAAAGCTTCTGCCCTGGAAATCTTGTTGATCTCCAAGGTGCTACTGGACTCGAGTCTAGTTCTTCACAAGAATTGCCAGCAGTGGAGAATGAAGGCAAGCGGAGACCAGCGTTGAAGAAGGGAAGTTGAGCCCGAACGAAAGGAAAGGGGAAACTGTGCTGGCAAGGCCAGCAGGTTGAGAAGAAGCCCAAAAAACAGGGAAGCCAAGGGGCAGAGAAGGTGAAGGACAGGGCTGAGGCAGCACTGGACTGAGACAAAGCCACCAGAGGAGAGGACAGGTAAAGGAAGCAGGAGAGAGAGAGAGAGAGAGAGAGAGAGAGAGAGAGAGAGAGAGAGAATGAGAATGAGAATGAGAATGAGAATGAGAATGAGAATGATTAAAACAGGGAGCTGACGAAAGCAAGCGAGGAGGGCTGGTGTACAAAAAGGCTTATGCTAACCCTGCTATTATTGTGTGCATTTGTTCACCCCCACAATGAAATGAAGGGTGAGTCAGTGTGGCTGACTCTCAAACCCTGCAAGCTGGCCTGTGTTACGTTGGGAACAATTAGAGGTGGTTACTTTTGGATAAATGATCTTGTAAGACTTCTAGCGTTTCCTGGCTTGCTGGTTGGCTGTGGTTCAAAACCAGTTTGGATCAAGTGTTTTGCTTTTGAGCACACTCTTAGCTGTTGCCTCAAATTCTTTGGACCCTGGTGAGGCACACAGCTGGCCCCCAGGGACAGCTATGAATGATTCGGGGAAGAGCCTGATTCGAATCCCGCTTCCTCCGTGAACATGAAAGATGGCCCTAGGGTAAGCCTGCGATCTCTCACCCTCCCGTCTCTAGCGTAGGGGGTGATGCTGGCTTATTTTATAGTATTGTAGATTATTTGCCGTCATCTCATGTTGTGCTGTTCAGGAAATTATGGCAGGAAAAGAGGCAGCAATTATTACCTTGCTCTGAGTAAGAAAATACCTTGGAATGTCCCTGCAGTTGTCTGAGAAGCACGAGCAAATGGCCAAGTAAAAATATGCTTGCTCTGATCCTTGGTTAACTTTTACGGGTGATGCGGCA